ACCCTACAGCCCTCTGGACTCAATATTGAGTTCAATAATTTTAGGGCCTAAACTCTCCCATGTCCCAGCCCCCCACCCCACACACCAGGCCTTGTTACCACATAGCCTGCCACTACACACCCCCTGTTGCTAGTCACTAACAGTCCCCATTAACAACTATTCACCCTCCCAGCCTGATCGTTAGCAACTCCTTTGTCTGTCTAACTGTCTTTCTCTCTCTTTGGGCTCTATCCTATCGTTTACTCCCTACCCCACCCACCTCCCTATTTTCTGCATATAAACTGACGCTTTCCCAGCCACCATCAGTTCTGAGGATGGGTCACCAGACCCGAAACATTAACTCTGTTTTCTCCTTCACAGATGCTGCCAGACCTGCTGAGCTTTTCCAGTAACTTTGTTTTTGTTAACATTTTGAATCTGAGGGTTCTTCATCAGAACTAATTAATTTGTCTCGTAGGTTGTAGTTTCCAAAATCATGTCAAAGAATTTTAGTAGCTTGCATTGAATATTGCGTCAATTTTGAACTCACTCAGCATCAAGCATCAGAAATTATTTGAGAAGGCTCTACATTTCCCCAATATCTCTTGACCATTCCAAAGTGATGATTAGTGTGACTGTTCCATTTCTCACAATTAACCTTAGCAGAGATCACCGCTAATGTGCAAGATGATCAGGGAAGATACCCAGTCAACTGATAAACAGAATGTAATTCTGTAAAACAATTACAACGTTGAAATAGACTATTCAAACAGTGGTTCCTTACCAATTGCAAGGAAAAAGAAAGCACTGTAGGAAGCCTCAGGACTGAAGAAGTGCAGTTTTATTCATAATTGAAGATTTTAGATCACAACGTAAAATCTATTGCAGTATTTAAGTTGTTGTGTCTTCGCATTAAATATTTGATTATTTAAATGTGATAATTATTTATTTATACCACCTCAATTTCAAAAATTTCCCACTGTTGTCATATCCTTAGGGATATCTCAAAGTTACATGATATTGCAACAAATAACTTCTAAATAGTTTTGGTGGCATGACTAACCAGCTATAATTATTCACCATCATGTTCCCCCTCCTAACGTTGGTCATGTTATACAAGTTTCATGCAATTTCATGATGCTTTGTCTTGGGAATCTCTTGTTTCCAGTTTGCCAGGAGTTCTTGCTATTCAATCTTCATGCAGATCAGGGGTAATTTCTGCATTACTTCAATTTCTCAAGAAAATTTACAAACTTCAACCAAATGCTCTACACATAAACAGGACTCGGAAAGTATCTTTCAGGGAGGTTGGGTAGATTTAGACTAGATTGGCAGGACGGATGGGAACTTCAGAACAAATTCAAGCAGGGAATAGCCTCTGAAAGACAGGAGAGTTTAAAAAGTGTACAGTACAGGAATTTGGCAGTATTAAAATGGTATATATAAGTGCAAGGAGTATAACAAAACTAAGCTAATGCACGGAGGGCACAAACAGACACATGGCAGAGTGACATCAATGCTATAATGGAAACTTGAGAGACAGGCAAGGAATTTACCACTGAAGGCTGTCAAGGCTGGGTTATAATAAGTATATTCGAGACTGAGAGACAGATTTTTAATCAGTAAGGGAATCAAAGGCTTTGGGGAAAAAGGCAAGAAAGTGGGCTTGAGGATTATCGAATTGGCCATGATCTCACTCAATTGCAAACAGATTCGTTGGGTTAAATGGCCTTCTCTACTCCTATGTCTTATGAAGATATCAGTTCAATGTCTTTGGCAGAGTTTTCAGGAGGAACAGATAAAGAAATAAAAAAAGATGAAGGTGTAGCATTATTGGATAAAGAATCAACTACAGCTATGAGGAGGGATGATTAAATGAAACAGTGAGGCCATTTGGGTAGAATTCAGAAACAAGTTTAAAAAGGGGGCAGCCACACTGCCAGGCATTTACTATAGACTCATAAACAGTGCAAGACACTTGGTGCCGCAAATAAACAGGCAACTATAAAATCGCAAAATCAAAAGGGCAATAATAGCTTGAACTCGAGCCACCCGATATTAACTCGGCTGTAGAGTGAAGGGCATAAAGTGCACAAAATCCTTGAATAATGTTCAAGAGAACATTTTTGTCCAGCATGTGGCAAGTCCTAGAGAGGGCACAATTTCAGACTTAGCTTTAGGGAATGAAGCTGTGCAGGTGGATCAAATAGCAATTGGTGAGCAGTTTGGAGATAGTGACCATAAGAAGTTAGATTTAGCATCATAGGAAGGAACAAAGATAGGAGTTAAAAAAT